TCATCCCTGAAATATCATGCCCTCATCCTAGCATTTTGTTTACTTTTAATATTGGAGGTGGATATCAGCTTAAGATCTAGATTTAGAGGTATTTTACACTAGCTGAATTGAATTTAGTTAGGATTAGGATATTATATGTGAGCTCTTTCGTGGGCTTTTCATGACCAATACAATTTTGCAGGGATCTTTGGTTGGCTCTTATTACCCTTCCTCCTACTCTTGTCATCGATCGGTGTTGGTGGTTAGATATGAATCACACATTGGTGGATGTCTCGCTTCCTCCTCCTCATCTGTTTATCCATATTTAATTGATGTATCTCTTTGGGAATGTGGGGGGGGAGGGGGAGGGGGCATGGGTTGATTAACTGGAGCTTTCAGAATTTTTTATCTGTGGCTGAGAGGTCTTATTTTATCAACATCTTGAAGCTACTCATTGTATGTTATATTTTGGTTTATTTTCTCCATCTGGCCAGAAATCATCCATACCAACTTTTCTTCAGTGATTGCTTATCTAAATCACCTGACAGCACCCATTCTCCATCCCTCTGTATTCAGACATTCAATCATCTTTTTTCACCCACACGCTCAATATTCCTATCATTGCATGTCATGTTCTGGGTGATTTTGCTCTTGTTCTGTATCTGATTCCTGTCCAGACAACATTTATTTGGTGGAGTGGTCTCTCGATCCTTTTGTTTACTAGTGGCTTAGACTTCAGTGGGGTACTCCTCACATTGAGGTTTTTGCTACATCCCTTAACCACAAATTGATTTTGGTCTCTAGTTCTTCATCTTCTTGTACTGCTATCAGTGTTTTCAGCCAGGATTGGACCTCCACATTTGTGTATCCTCCTATTTTCCTTCTCTGGGTGATTTCATTCATCCTATACATGCCATGTTCAGTCCTTCTGATAGCTCTTTCCTGGCCATCTCAGCTGTAGTTTCCATGGCTTCTCCAGCTCCAACTTCCTCCTCTGTCTCCATCCCTTCTTTACCACCCACTGTCAATGGTGTTTCATACAGACCTTCTTATCCTCCATCTTCATGCCTGGTTTTCCTCTGATCATTGGCGAGGATGATCCGGCTTCTTCCGATGACTAGCCTCTTTTCTGACTTGTTTCATTCACCCTTCCTACATGGAAGTTTCTCAACACAAATGGAATTCTTCCATTGTTGATTTCTGGGTATAGGGTTCTCCCTGATCAACCCACTGTTTTTCTTCATGCAGATTTTCTCTCTCGACTTTTGGATCGAGGTTCTCGGATTTTTGAGTGGTCCTCTCCCACACCTTTCATTATTCCTTGTTCTGCAGGTATTTGCCTCTCCTACACTCTTGGATGTGTTCCTTCTGGATTTGTCATCTGCCATAGCAGGCTGTCTTTCTGAATAGGGATACTAATGTGGCTCAACACTGCCTCACTTTGCCTATGTTTGAACCACTCTTGTTTCACCTTCCTTTTCCTATCCACTTGTGGAAATCAGTGGTCTGTTTATTTGTCATCAACATTTCATGTACACTTTATCCTTCTACATATCTTCTCCTTTCTCCAATTTTTTTCCTCCCTTACACTTTAGCAGCTCATGAAGATAACTCCTTTTATCCACTTTCTCTTCATTCCATTTCACACCTTTATCCTTGTCCTGATCCAAATAGACTGCTCTGACCTGTACATACTCTTCTCTATTATATTGCCTGCATGGCTTCTTTGTGTGGTGTCTGTTTCTGCCTCTTTCTTCATTGGCAACTATCCTCTGGTCTTGTTCTTTCTCCTTCCTTCTTTGCCAATTGGGTTTGACTCATCCTTCGATTGGCTTCCTCCACTTTATTGTCTTCCTCCCATACTTTCTTCCGAGTGTCTTCTCATCCAATTCAACACCTTACCTTTTCATTAGCATTTCATCTTCGTCGTCCTCTGGAGGTACGTTTTCAGTCGGGCATGTGGACTACCCATGATACATTCATCTCTCACTGTTTGCATTGGATCACGGTTTTCTTACTCTTCCGGTTATCCTCTTCTGCCTGTAGCCATTAGGGAATATCAGAATTCAGTGAGACTTTGACTGGGTAAGTTTTTTTTTTCTTATTTTTCCTTTTCAGGGCCCTTTTTCCTTTTATTAATGCTCATTATTTGGATCTTGCTCTGTGTTGAGTGGCGCCTGACAAGGTATTCTTTAACTGTTCAAATCTGCACTGTTAAGCCATGTCGATTTGCATATTATAATTCCATGGCCATGCAAAGTGCACTGCAGAGATAGGGTGTTCCACAAGATAGCTTGTAGGTTTATCCTCACAATAGAATTGCTTCATAAGTTTGCCCATCCTGGACCATACCCACTCATGGAGTACATGAGTAAAGCAGAAGAAGATAGCTGCCCATTCCTAACATGCCTTGTATTGAATATATCATTATGGTCAGCTTTTAAAAATAGGATTTCATGGTTATCCATTGCACTGTCTCAGTTGTTGTCATTCCTCCAGACTCTCCACCTCATTTTATCTCCCTTTTCTTTTAATGGAGTTTGTGAGTTCTTATCACTTTCCAGTTCTAAGCCACTGGAGTGATGGGCCATGGAGGCATCCTCATGAATAGATTAATGGAATACAAAAAAATATAGAAATGATTGTAAAACCATTCAGTTGAGAGTAGGGCAATGGTGTTCTGCTGGTGTAGATGATGTGATATCCTCCACTATGAAATAAAAACAAATGGGAGTGAGACATCAAAATTGCAGTTCACATCTTTGATTGGGATCTATCATCCTACCCCACATGGATGTCGGTTCCCAGTGGTTGGGTTTGGATTTAGAGTAGAACCAATTGACATAAATGTTCGCACATGTATTACAGATATCTATATTCCTCCCTCATTTATACTCCATCAATGTTGTGGGTCATGGTAGAGGTAATTGCAGATTGTTACATTTCTTTCCCTTCTGCTATCCCTCAATGTTTCTTATTCTGAGGATGTTAATGCATTTGGGGTAATTCCAGTTAATTTCACTTTTGAAGGAGATGGTTTACATTATGTAAACATCTTTTCAATACCAGATGTCGAGTTCCCAGATCTATCTATCAATTTATCATATTCATGTATCCCTCCGGTCTCATGAACTTGAGATGAAGAAGGTATGGCTGGGTTTTGGATTGTAGTTGACTTGCCACAAGTATGATCCTCTTTCCTACCCCCCACATTGATGTCGGTATTTGGAAGCCAGGTTTTGGATTGTAATTGATATACTAATGGTATGATCCTCATCTTACCTCCACGTGGATGTCGGTTCCCAGCAGCATGGGTTTTTGATGTAGTTGACTTACCATGTACAGTCCGTCGCACTTTAGCCACTCTACAACTAGGGGCACATCCTTTTTATTTTACCCACTTTATAATTTCTGGGATTGAGTTTCATAAATATTGCATGGTTAGGATCACTTTCCAGCCATAGTTCTCTTCCAGTTGGATGTGCTCCTCTGTTTTCTGCCCATATCTTTCTACGATGGGCGAAGAGTTTACCTGATTCAGAAGTGGTGCAGTTTCCCACATGAGATCTTAGAATCTGATTGTCTCATCTTAGGGAGTGTCATTAGGACACTTTCAAAGGATGCTTCTTTCTTTCTCTTGCACCTAGTCCCTCTACCTATTCAGTGTAGGATTCCAGCTATTTATGTGAGGGGAGGTAATGTACCATATCAGAAGTTATAATTTTCCTACACAGACAATGTATTTCTGATAGGTACTTACTTCCACTCACACTTCCCACCCTTCCTACCCACTGAAAACCAGTGCTTCCATCTTCTACTAAAACTCGAAGTGATAGTTGTGGTAGAATTAAATAAAGGGAGTCACATGTGTCATGAGAGTATGTTGCACTTTTATTGGTGGAGGGTTGACGTATGATGATTTGCATGAGAGACACATTGGAATCAGTCAATTCCTATGGAGGGGAGATAAAAGGCTTATGGCATGAGTAAGAGATCTTTTTACATATAGAGGGCAGCACTAAATGAGAATAGCTATTTATGTGAGAGGAGGTAAGTGCTTATCAGAAATACAATTTCAGTGTAGAAAATTCATAACTTCTAACATATCATTGATATTTAAGTAAAAGCACATAAAGTTCTGAAGCTGTGCTACCTTATTACTTGAGTTCAATCAATATAAGAAAAGCAGTAAGGAGTATTTATCCAATTAACATTAATTTAATTTCAGAAGGTATATGTCAAATGAACAAAACAAATTTCTAATACTTGGTTTCATCAGTAACATTGACTGATTTTGTATAATAATTTAGCTTAAAGGTATGATCATTGATTGAATTCTACAATGTTTTATAATTTTTTCCTAACTTTTTTAAATTAATAGTTTTAGTTTTTAAGTCCTTAAGTTTGTTTGGGATCTTTAAGCTGTAGCTTTCTTTGAAAATCTAATTTGTTCAACCTACTGTCTTCTTTGATAATGATTTTGCCAATAAAACATTCATTTCTGCTGCAATGCTAATGTCTGTTTTTTGCAACTTTTGTACTAAACATATTAACAATTGGCAGTTTTTATTAGTTAGAAAAGTTGGTTGCATACTGTTGCATTTTGCTGTTTGTGACTTATCAGATAATTGATATGTAGATATCTTATCCAAGACTGTACCAAGCAGTACACAACTAATTTTCATTGGTTTCATGACAGAAGCCGTAGTTTTATGAACTTTTACAGTCATGCTTTTTAATAATGAATTATAATTTTTGCACATAATGCATAGATATGAAATAGGCTAGCCTATGTTAACAGAATTTAACTAACCATTTGACTATGGCTCTGTATCATATATCTTCTAATGTTTACATAAACTTCCTTAAGCATCATCTACTCAGTTAAATTTATTGGTGTTTGTAATTTTTTTCTCCATCATGTTTATATATTTTTTATTGTTCAAATAATAATTTGTCTTAGGTTATACTGAAGTTTGCAATTAAGTAAGTGTATCTGCCTTTTTTTTTTCTTTTTACAGAAACCAGTTATTCTTAATGAGTAAGAGTCAGAAGAAACAGAAATAATTCGTAGTTACTGTCAGATATGGAAGTGTCTCTTGTGAGTGCATGGTTTGTTCATGAAGTTGAAAAACCATAGCAGTTCAAATTATATAACTAAATTCATCACTTTACATCTCATATTTTAATATTCAAGAATGAATGGAAATAGTGATGAAAACATTTTGTTCACAAGTCAAGAATTAAATCAAAGAGTGGCTACAGCAAGTTTGTGCAACACTGAAGTTAAAGAAAGTGGAGGCAATTTTTGTGATACTGCTTTTTCCCATCCACATTTTATTAGTAGAACTTCTCACAATTCTGCTGAACTTCAGGTTTCACCACCAAAGGAAATTTTGAATTTAGATGCTTCTCCATGTAGTCATGCTGTAAGTATGCATAATAATATTGACACATCCTCTAACTGCAGTGATGTCATTATGAATTATGGAATGGCATCTAGACCAGAAGCTCTTGCTGTTCAGCCAGGTTTTCCTTCACCTTCATTATCTGAAAAACCTGTGAATGAAGAAATTATAGTAACATCTCACATTCCTTCACACACAGAAAATTTGTTAGTAGAGAGAGTCTCCCATCATTCTGGGGTTACCTCAGACAGGATACCTTCACAAAATATACTTAGCAACAGAGGATCTCCTCAACCACTACCATCCCTTCATGAGATATTGAATGTTTCTCCAAATATGGATGATGAAATGCACCATCAGTTCTTGAGGCAGGCAGCCAAGGTTGTAGAGCAGATAACACGTGTCTCTAGTTCTCGAAGTGGGCAAAATGTGATAGATAGCTGCAGAAATTTGGCCCCATCAGTCTACTGGAAACATTTTTTAGGCACATCATACACTGGAAAAAAAACAGCTTCAGAGGTTTGCTTAATGAATAATAATGAAAACAAACAAGAGTTTCCTTCTATTAATCTTGAAACAAAAACCAAAGATCTTGAAAAACCTGAATCAAAAGTTGAACAAGAACCTCTTAAAGATGAAATTAATGGTCAGTCAGAACCAATAAAACAAAATGTGCCTTTTGCAATAAACATGTCAAATAACCAGGAATCAAATTTGAAAAGTATACAACAAACTACTGGTACGCTGTCTTCATTGACTACAAATGATTCATCAGTTAGAAATTCATCTGTTTCAAAAACTCCAGTTCAATCAAATACAATTATGGCACGTAGTGGAATTAAACCAGAATTATATACAGAAGAACGACACCTGCTTGTACAGAGTGGTGTGAAAGCAGAGAGTAAAAGAATAACACCACAAGGTGTTCCTTGCCACAGATGTTGTAAAACATTTTCAGATAGTCGTAGCCTGCAACGACATTTACTTGTACATAGAGGTTTTCGTCCATACCATTGTAACTATTGTCCAAAGGCCTTTATGCTAAATGGTGACCTAAAGCGTCATTTGAGAATTCATAATGGTGAAAGACCATTTGCCTGTGAAGTGTGTGGACGGAGGTTTACCTTGAAAGGAAACCTAATGCAACATTTTCGAACACATACACCAGAAAAGCAGTTCACTTGCACAATTTGTCGTAAAAACTATGCACAAAAAGACAGCCTTTATCGTCACATTCGAGCACATTTTGGGGAAAAGCCTTATGAGTGTACAACTTGTGGTAAGCGATTTAGCTTGAAAGGGGACTTGAGCAGACATATCTTAATTCACAGTGGGCTGAAACCTCATTCATGTAGAGTTTGTGGAAGAAAATTTGCCCTTAAGGGTAATTTAACTCAACACATAAGAACACACAGCAGAGAAAAACCTCCAGGAAGAATCACAAACAAAGAGATAGGTGTTGTAGAATCTCTTCAGACATTTCAGGGCTTAACTAATGTTTATGGTGCTGCTTATGGTGGTATGCAACAGCATACAGATTATTCTGATGCATTTTCATCTATTTCAACCCAGTCAGGTTCAACAGTGCAGTCAAAACAAATATGTATACAGTCTTCTTCCAGGTCTATAACAGAAAATAGTCTTAATGGCACTCTGGCAGTTAACTTATCCACACCTCCATCAACCTCCAAAGCCCAGGCTTCTTCAAATGTAACACAACATTCTCCAGCAGAATCACCTCAAGGAGGGCTGTCATTTTGCTCTGAATGTTCCAAGACCTTTTCCACAGTTGCTAAGCTGCATGAGCATGTACAAATGGTACATGAACAGTCAATGACATCTGGATTCAATTCACAGGATTGTAATTATTGTGAAAAAGGATTTTCTAACAAAGCAGAGTTATCTCATCATATTAGCACACATTGTGCTGTGAGACCTTATGAATGTCATATTTGTTCCAAGACATTTACATTGAAGGGCAACTTACACCAACATCTGACAACTCATCAGCTAGGTAAATCATTTTTTTGTCCCATGTGTGATAAACCTTTTGGAAACCAGCGAAATCTGAAACTGCATGTGAAACGACATGAAACTGCACGAGCAAATTTTGCCTGTACTAACTGTGGTCGGGCTTTTTTAGCTAAGTCAGATCATTTTTTCCATTATTGTAAAATGGAAGAAAGATGTGAAACAAAAATAGTGAATTCTGTGCAAGCTGCTTCCTCTCCATCAAAAAACATAATTTCATCTTCCTCACTTTCTACTGGAACTGATCGCATATTGAGTTTGCCAGCATTTCCTTCATCATCATCATCATTACCTGAATCCACTTCAATACCATCTTGTACAAACACTTTAAAAAATAATAATCAAATTCCAGAAATAGCCAAGTCTGAAGTGATTGAAAGTTCCCAATGCACAATCAGTACATGCACATCTTTGCAATCTGGAATAGTTACCACACCAATAAGCACATCTTCAAATGGATCGCAGTCATTTTTGGGACCTATTTATCGACATCTATACTTTAACAACATATATCAAGATAGCCACGAGAAAGAAGATTTGCGCATGGTAGTCCAGCCTTCAGTTCAAGATCCCAACAATGTATGTTTAGGGAAGGAACATTCAAGATTGTTACTATCCACATCAAGAGAATAGCACTGTAATTTGAATTTGATTTCATAATGTTTCTTGATTGCACATTTATGTAAAGTACAGGTCAAGTACATATACAGCACAAAGTGATAATTAATTACCAATCATTTTCCATTTTGAATGCTAAGTATACATGTAAGTATATATAAATAGTGTTAGGATTAAAAAGTAGGAATTGCATGTATTTAAATTTTAGTGTTTTCAGCTTTGTTGTACTAATTAAGGAGGTGGATATAACCAAAAAATATGTTGTACAACATTTGTTTCTATAGGACTTACAGAAGTAAGTATGTGGAGAGAACCGTATTTGTATGCTTTAATAAGTTAATTAGAAATATACACATGCAAATAAATATTTTTACTAAATTTATGGTAAAATACATCTATTTGTATACATGAAAACTAAAAGTTTTTTACTTAATTTTTTCTTTTGCAGTAGACATGACATATCTGTTACAACCTGTATAAACATTTAAATACATATATATGTTTAAATGTTTATACTTAGATAGCATTTTGTAGTTCACACAAAATATCTTGACTTAATTTACAATATGCTATTGAGCCACATGTTTCAATTGATGTGTATGAAGGCATGAGATCAGGTGATTTAAGTAGATGATGATGCTGTTCAGTAAAAATTATAAAGCATTTAATGTTTCATATGCTAAATGAAACATATTAAGTTTTGGCTTGTCTGTCACTTGTTGTAACATGCATTCAAAAATCATACTTGTGCTTGGTAATCTGTATTAAACAGTCAAGATATTCTGTCTATTCCATATGTTGTATAATAAAGTGTATATAAGATGTTTGTAATTATACACACACTATAAGTTTGTTGCATCTGTTACACTTATTTTGCTCATCATCTAATATACTGCAGTTCAAATATAAAAAAGGTCTGTTTAAAGCTCCTACAGCATTTGCTTGGCTATGCTAGATGAATTTATGAACAGTTGGGATGTTAAAATTTTTGAGATACCACATGACTGCAGCTTTCTAACAGTTTATAAGGATTCCAAAATATATGAGAAAGTTTTAAATTCATGAAGGAAGAGACAGTTGAGAATGCTTTGATTTGCCATAACATTTTAGCATTCTTAAGATGAAAGATATATATATACAGAGATGTGTTCACAATCTATGATAGTGATAGAAGGATGAATGACTAGGCCTTACAGCTTTTTCTACCATTTGCAGTACTCTTTTTAATAGTAATGGTTATAAATTGTTGTTCTCCCAATGCAATTTCCACTACAGGAAGCATTTGTGCACTATACTGAGGTCAGTGTTGTCCCCCACCTGCTTACATGCTTTACAAGGTCCATAAGCTGTGACAATGACATATGAGAACCTGTTTGTGCAACTCAAAGGTGCAGAAGTTCATGAGAAATGACTGTGAATAGTATAACATGAATTCTAAAACAAATACCTTCAAACCCAGAACAGCTTCTTTCCTCTTGAGATTGCACGTTCTGCCAAAGAGTTGTAGTGCACTGACGTTTTCCTGAGATTTGCAACTTTTTCATTATTTTACTACACTGAGTTTAGTTATTCTCAAAATGAATTCACAATTTAATGTGAACTCCTGCTGATGTGAGTGAATTTACTCACACTGGACAAAGTACTAACAGTATGGCAGGAAGTTCTTTATTTATGGAAAATATGATGGCCATTGTGTGGTGGGATCCATTATGTAGCCTGGACCATCTGCTTTGTTCCTTCTACCCACTTTCTCTCCTCTTCTTTCAAGCCTGAAGTTAAGAAGAATGAATTTGAATGCCTTTTTCTCCCTACAGTTTTTGCTTTGGGAAACTCTACCTACTGATTTTGAAAACCTCATTTCTCAGATTTGTAGTTCTTTTTCTCATTTTAATTTTTTTAGTTTTCCCATTCTCCTTTACATAAACCCATACCTTGTGATTTCTTTGATTTCCCCCACCCCCAGTTATAACTGTACATGCCAATACCTTTCTGGATCAACTTTATTCCCACAGCTTTATGCCTTGTCCCCCTTGTATGACTGATTCTTATGTTTTAGCATATGGTCATTCAGTCTTACCATTCCTTGAGACCCAGTTTTTGAAGTCACTCTTGCCTGTTTGGGGCATGGATTCATCCTCAGCTGTTTTCCTATCTAGTGCACAGCTTTCTTACCTTCAAGCCTTTTTCATTACCCTTCTTCAGTACCTCGCTTCACCTCATGATGGAAGCCCTTTACCATTCCCCTGTTCTTTTCAGGGGACTCTAGATCCCTCTTTCTTTCTACAATGGCCTGTTCCACCTCTTCTGCTTTCTCATTTTACTTGGTTTCTTTATAGTTGGATATTTAGGGAAGGAATACCCTACTTTTTCAAGTCCCCCTTCCTTCTTTCCACGGGACCATTGTTTTGCCCCTTTTCTTTGGCCAAAGGTTTTTGGTGGTACTGCTGATTCCCTTGAATCACAGGCTGAAGCTGCCCACCACCAATCTTCCCATATTTTCATAGTTTCTTATTTGTCTCAACCTCACCCTTCCATCTCTGTCTCTTATCCTGGCCCTTCTTCTTCCATCCCCGTTCTGTTCCTGTGTCCAGACCTTCCACCTCTTTGCATCCCACTTTCATCCAACATCTCACTCACCATCTTAATCACTGGTAACCATTTAGTTGGTTAAGAACCTGTGAAGGCCAATCTGTCTTAGTTTGCAAACCTGTGGGCACATTTTTCTGCCAATATATGGGCTCTTCTAGTTCTTTCTCGTGGTTTCTTTCTTCACTTTTCTTCCTCTCTTCTATCCCAATCTGTTGCTTCCACCACCAAATCTGGTCCTGCTTACATTTCAATACCTGGAGGAAGCAGTGTCAAATTTGTTGGTGAAATGGCCCATGGAGAGGGTTCACAAGCTCTCTTCACATTCTTACTCCCACCTCTTTGTTGTCCCCCATTGGTCTTTACAACCCAGCTTTTGGATGACCAAGGTTGATGTGATGGATGCTTTTCCCCACATTCCAATCACCCTGTCCTTGTGGTATTTTCTCCAATTGGTCCATGGGGATCCCATTTTCCATTTCTGTGCTCTTTTGTTTGGTATAGCATTGGACCCTTATGTTTTCAATCACATTATATGGGCATTCACTTGGCATCTTCGCAATCTGTGTCTGCGATTACATTTCTGTATGGATTACTGGCTTCTACCCACCCATTCCTGAGCAGAATTCTCTGAAAAAATTTCCCTTCTTCTTCATAAAGCTGCTCGTTTGGGGTGGCGCTTCAAAGATTTATAAGTCCTTCCTCACCCTGACCCAGTATTTCATCCACCTGGGATTTCTCTTCAACTCTCACCTCAGCTGTGCCCAACCTCCTCCCATTCAAACAGGTTTTTATCAATTGTACATATTAAAACTTCTGCTTATTTTATTCACAATGTTTCACCAGGTTTACATGGCATCATTTGGTGGGTTACTAGAACTGAAGCTAACAGAATTCATTGATGAATTACTTTATTGTTGCAATTATAGCATCCTAATAGGCCACTGGTGTTGCCTCCCAGGGTACACTTACCTAAATTCTTCATCGTGCTGGGATAATGGAAAGTGCTCATACTATCTGCCGTGATCTACTAGTGCCCACTAACATGGGGTATTCCATAAAACCATGTTAGGTTTCCTCATAGTATTTATGTATATATTTTACTTTTCTTTTCTAACACAGACCATGCCCATTCCATGGATATCAAGGAAGGAGCCAGCACTGGAGTAGTTTTTCTGCCCACTTCTCTGGCTAGTGCTTTTAAAAATAGGGTTTTGAATCACCTATTGCACTGTTTCCAGTAAAAAACATTTTGGACTGAAAGATGGTGATCTGAGCACATTCTCTGGGTCTCCCCTACATTAATTCTCTTCCCTCATCACACCCCATGGGCTTCATTTGGACGCTCTCTGAAGGGTGCTTATCTAGGTAAATTTTACACCATCTCATCATGGGATTCTATTTATTTTGTGTGTAGAGATGAGTATATGTTTCAGAAGTTAACATCTCCTCACCTGAAATTGTATTTCTGATAGATACTCACCTACTCACACATTCCCATCCATCCTCTCCTCTTTTCCAGTGCACTTTTCTTCAGTACCTTATCAAAGAATGAGGATCCATGAGAATGTATAGGGAGTCAATGTACATGATGGTGTGTCACACTCCTATTAGTGGAGGGTTCTATTGCATGATGATGTCATCTTGCAGTGTCACAAATTCATGTGATTTCAAGTTAGATTAGGTGGGAGTTTTCCCAAGGCTGGTGGTTTGCAAATCTCCTTGGCAGAATGTGCATTCTCAAGAGGAAAAAAGCGATTCTGGGTATAGAGGTGATTATCTATCAGAAATACATTTTCAGGTAAGAAAAATGTTAACTTTCCATATACTGGGAGTCTTTGTTATATGTGATGCTTGCATTCCAAAAAATTGTGCATAATGAGAAATCACATAATAGGAATACCAATTCATACATAAAAAAATAGGGATGTATTTCACAACCTCTACACTACTGCCCCAATCCTAGTTATATCACTTTTTCATGACATACAAACAATAAGCACCTTCAGATAATAAAACAAAATACAACAGTATAATTATGATACAGTAAATAAAATATTTAATGCTCACAAACAAAAATTACTCTTAGGCTCAGGTACATGAAGTGATAGTCTACATATTGTGAGGAGAAGATGCATGGTCATCAGAGTCTGATTCCACATTATTTGTAGGACAAGAGGATGTCATTTCTAGATGGAATCAATGGAGAGGACGTGCTTGAGTTGCTGGAGGCTGATGCAAGAGAGAGGCAGCTAGTTTGGGTGTAGAGGTTGAAGGGCCAGGAGAAGCAGCTGAAGCATGACTGGGGGTGACTGAGCGAGGCTTTAGGAATTGCAGAATTATAAACTGCTTTGCTGCCCATTGCCTTTGTGCATAAATCTCCTTGTAGGGAGCAAGGACAGTGTTTAAACTCCATTTAAACTGCAGGCTCCATTCTAGGCTTGGGTCCATGTCAAGTGCTTTCTGAGCAAGAGTCTCAGCATGTGAAAGAAAGCCAGCTAGACTCTTCATTGTCATGTTCTTGATGTCAAGGACCACTTCATCTTTTTCCTTGTTTTTTTCATTAGCAGCAGACATTACAGTGGCATCATAAACATTCAGCTCCTCATCATGGGAATCTATGAGTTCCATAACGTCAGCTTCCTCAAGTTCTGGGAAGTCTTTCCTACCTAGCTTATGTTCAAGTTCAACAACCCTTCACACTGTTGTTGAAAATTTAGAAAAACCTTGGAAGTCATTAATGCATTCCTTCCATTACAATTTCCATGCACAGTCCATGGTAGATTATTTCATTTCCTCCCATGATGCTTTGACGTTTTCAATACCACGTCTTCCAAAAATCATGAATTGTTGGTTTGTAAGGTCCAACAGTGTCATTCAGAAGCTGGCTGATGGTTTGCCTTAGGTAGTAGGCCTTCAATGTTGAGATAACTCCTTGATCAATAGGCTGGAGCAATGAGGTAGTATTAGGACAAAATTCTGACATTAGGATTGATGTTTTCCAAATGTTGTGGTTTTCCTGATAAGAAGCACCTTGAATGCAAGGTTAGCCTCCATACAATATTGTTCATTCACCACAACAAAATAATTAGTGGACCATTCTTCAAACACTTAGCCAGTAACCCATACCTTTTTGTTGGCAGTCCAGTGCACAGGCAACATTTTCTTGTTAAGGCCTTTGAAAGGATGAGGGTTCAGGGAATGGTATATAAGTAGTGACTTCATCTTGAAGCCACCTGCTGCTTTTCCACATAGTAGCAGTATCAGCCTATCTTTTGCTGCCTTAAAGCCAGATGCTACTTTCTCCTCCTTCCAAAACAGCCTAGTTTCATCAGCATTAGAAACTTCCTTAGGGCTGTACCCCTCTGCTTCAATAATTTCTCTCATTTCTTCTGGATATCTGGCAGCAGCAGTATGGTCAGCACTTGCAGATTCACCTGTCACCTTCAGATTATGCAAGCTCTGATGGTAAATAAATTTAGCAAACCAGCCCTTACTGGCCATAAAGGGCTGTTCAGCTCCACCATCTTCTTGGATCAAGCATTCATATATTTCCAAAGCTTTACCTCTAATACTGATGAAACTAAGATTCATTTTCTTCTGGTTTTGATCTTCAATCCAAAGTCCCAGCATCTCCATCTTTACCAACAATGGATTTCGTATTTTAGTCATCATCTTTGCTGATGGTGGTATTGACTGTATCACTGAACTATTAATTTTATCAGCATTCTTCTTAATGGCGCATAAAGTTAATTTGCCAAGGTTGTAGGGACAACCAAGCACAGAGGGGCCTTCACCAGCTTCCACACATTTTACAATTTCTAACTTCAATTCTAGCATCACTACATGGGTGGATTAGAGCTAAGACTAGGAGATGAACTTGCAGGATGTTTGGAAGCTACAGCTGTAAAATGATACACAGTCCATAAAATGTGCATAAAAAACACATATATGTATAGAATAATGGACAGTGTGAGAATGAGGCAGCAGGGATGTGTTACTTTGGGTGGTGAGAACCCAAGTGTAACCACAATGCACCACTCGCATCAGTGGTGGGCAGCAGCCGATATTCTGGGGTGCAGAGAGGCACAGTGTGACTGACTCAGAACATGTTCAACTGCATAAAGCCGAATTATTCTAGCATATAATGAATTTTTGATAGAAATAGGATCCTCGCATAAGGGCAAATTCATGTATGCTGAACATGCACATAAGGAGGACTCCCAGTATATTTATATTTTGCAGAGGAATTGGTATTGACTTGGACTCTCCCTCAATAGAGCCATACCTTAGCATCTATTCCATAGAAAAATATATCTTCATACATTAAAGTGGTGTTAGCAAACCAGTGTGATAGTATGCAGAGTTCAACTTGTTATTTTTCTTGGCTCTCTGGACTTTTAACTTTCCAATATAGCTGTAACTTGAAAACCTCATTAACCCTATGGAAATCTTTTGTCACATATACTAACTCTTTCTTTTTTTGAACAAAAAACCTGAGTTTTTTCAAAATTTAAAAATCAAACTTACAGCAATCAATTTGCAATTCAATTTCAGTCAGTCATTTATATAACAAGACAATTTATTAATGATTAAATTGATTAGTGTCTCATAAGCTAATTTATTAATCAATTAATGTCACAAAAATAACCAACTCATTGAAATAAACTGTTTTCGATTATTTCAAGAGTAGATTAATTGAAATTATGATTAAGTTGATATTCACCCAAAAAAATCAAATAATCAAAATCAGGGTTTTTGATTATATACTGTTTTCCATTATTCCAACTATCCAAATAATACAAATACTGCCATTATGCTTGTTTGTTGTTAGGCAATAAAAAAAGGTGCAGATCTAGGGGAAGGTTTCAGGGAACCTGGACCTCCAATCCATTTTTTTATCCACAAACTAATAACTGTATTCTTTAATGTTGTATAAGCAGGTATGGATCTAGGGGAGGTCTTGGGGTAGGGACCCTTCCATTTTTCAGGAATTAATGAATATATTATTTAAGGTTGCCAACCCCCCCCCCTTTTTTTTTATTAATATTGTTAATTATATTTAAATGTTGTATAAGTAGATGCAGGTCTAGAGGGCATTCAACCCACCTTTTTCTTTTTTAATAAATTGAAATTACCATATAATATCAAAAAGAAGCATTACATGGCAATGTTTTTATTTGATTGGGCTGTTAGTTACCATAAAAAAGTTTTGAGAATGTTCTCTGAAATCAGCACAGTTGGAGTCTGCAGCAATCTAGCAAAAGCCTCAGCCACCAACTGATTATTTCTAAGCTAATACAATAACATGGAAAAAAATTTAATGTTGCCATGGTAAATTTTCATGCCTTGGCATTTTCTAGACACTAAAAATGTGTCTTGATTTTAGAGATTTCTTTTCATCAAAGTTACTATTGTGTAGAACACCTGCAACTCTTATAACATAGACTTGTTACAGAATCACTTTTTCTTTGTTTAGAAGTTAGAACTTTTATGAGAAAGATGTTTTTTGTATTGTTGATGTGTAAAATAAGTGAAACTGCAAGTGGTATGACTGTAACGACTTTTAAAAATATTTTGAAAACAAGCATCCCATTTACCAATGCATTTATTAATATCATTATAAATAACCATACCTATTTAATTTTAATTTAAAAGTTTGAACTTTTTGTTACCAACTGTTTTTATTTTCATATCAGTCACATTACTAGAAATAAACATACAAGTTTTGAAATTGCTCTATTGTAATAACCTGATTGAGATAATCATTTGAAGAATGTACATTATTTTAACTTTAACTTACTTAGGTTAGTTTAAAACCATATGGTCAACATTGATTAATCCAAAATGCCTTATTATTATTATAGTGGAAGTCTTCTTTTGTATAAAAAATGTCTAAAATTTGGTTATTTATTACACGGTTAACATTTAAAAAGTTCACTGGTGATATAACGTCATTGTAAAAATGGAACAGTACTACAACTAGTGTGAAGAAGTTAAATATTATTGTTAATTTTTAGCACAATAATATAATATTATCTGAATAGACTTTCTAGTTTAATTTTTAGTCATTCCCTAATAGTTTCAACTTGTGAAAGATAATATTATAACTATTGAAAGTTTTATTTCATAAAGTAAATTGATGTTATTATAATTTTTATGTTGTTTGACATGAAATCTAAGCTACTTGAAGAATTAAATACTAGGTTTTTACTTTTGTTAACTACTTGTTTGTCTAATAAATAAAATATGATTATTCATTTCCATTGGTTAGCTACAAAGCATTTGAGTAACTGCAAAGCTATAGATACAATACTTAAGGCCCCAACATTGTTGTAAATGTGCTTATAAACTTGTAAGATTATACTGAGTTGTCTGAAATAACAAGTATAGAAATGTACATACAGTATTGTTTGTAACAGGTGACTGATAAGTGAATAAATCATTTAATGTTTCCAGATGCTAAACAGTGCAATTACACTGCATGTATGATACATTTTTATGTATAAAGTTTAGGATTAAAAAAAAGTAAGAAATGACTTTTTTTTTTCATTTTTGCTTTTACAGGGGGGGGGGGGGGGGGTGGGGGGGGGGTGGGGGG